AGAATATATTTCCCCATTTCTAACTTGCACTTCTCTCTCTAGTTATCGGAGCTGGGACACATCAGAATAGTTAACTTATTGGTCTTTGGTCACAGAGTCTTTGTTCCGTTCGCAGATTAAGTGAATTCGTAATCGCTTCAAAGTTGATAAAGAAAAAAAAATTTAATAAGTGACTAACTTATCTCAATAGTTATTTTTTCACTAATAAAGTTATACACATTGGAAAACGATCCGTTCTTTTGGAATACAAATTTATTTTCACTTAAAATATCTAGTTCATATAAACATGATCATTTTCAAAATATTTTGTTAGTGTTATGATCAAAGTTCATATACAGAATTTCATTATTAACATTACAGTACTAAATATCAATTTAACCTTCTATATGATATTAATGTCTAATCTGATTGGTTAATTAATCTTAAAATATTCATATTTATGATTTATTTATTTGAACACATAAATACTGATACAACGGGGCACCAGATACATATGCGCCACACAAATCTCATTTGATTTGTGTGAGGGTTTGGATACTGCCCGAGTGTCCAAACCAAAGAATGTGGTTTTCCTAGGGGGCCACACCCAGATCCTTCGACCTAAAGGTCTGATCCACAAGGCAGTGGAGCATCATAAGAAGATGTAGTCCCATGGTAGCCGGTGACCAACGACTGGTTCATACGCCATTCGTTCCTTCAGGATACTGGAGCCCATGTGCACCATTGGTTTGGAATGAGAGTTTTTCAACTCCCCTAGGTGGATCCTCCATATCCACCAACCCGCTTAAAGCACCGGACATTTGCTTTTCGTCCATTCAATTTCGTAAACAAAACTCCGCGAGAATTCAGTGAATAGGACTTCCTTAGCAATGGCTGATTACGAGTGGCCATGTGGGAGCATTTTGAGAGGAAGAGCGGACTCTCCCCTCTCTCGGCCGTAACAGGGCATTTGAGATCCATATTTATAATACAATACAATTAATTAAATTTAGTAATTTTATTAATCAAACTATTTCACATAATCTTATCATACAATATTTCTATAAAAATAATTCCTGGTATAATAAAAATTTGTCATAAAATTCAATCCAATAAAAACCAATAGAGTTATATATTCCTTCTACAAATAATTGAATTAAAACTGATAAATGACCTGTTATTTTCATATTACATATCTGCAGTCTCGTATCATAGCAATGGAACTACTAATTGTTATAATTTGTGATCTTGTGCTCTATTAATGTATAACGTAATTATACCACCAATTAGAGGACAGTGAATTATCGACTGGACCAATGACGCGTAAACCTGTACGAGCAGTCTAGCGTCCTTAACGGTCCTTCTTCCTACCTAACCCTGTCTGTTGAATCCAGAACACCAATCTCAGCCTCTGCGGTATGAATCATGTATTTCAAGCATACTGGGTTCATATACAAACCAAGCAGACCATATAGCATCACAAAATAGAAAACAACATTTGTACAAGATCTAGCCAGAGGTGTCTGAGAATGTGGGAGACTGTATTTCATAGACTGGGCATAACTCAAGAACAGTAAATCGCATAATAACAGCCTATGGGTCAAAATAAGTCTTATAATAGGAGGAACATGAATATGCATAGTTTAGCTACTTAACAATTATACAATAAAAATATATGTATCGTATTTCTTCATAAGTAGTTCTCAAGAGTTACCATTCATAATTCTCGTCAGGGTATAATACTGATAAATGTTCTCTGTCAAATATTTACTCATCCATTATTTATAGCTTTCCCTGTTCAAGGCTAGAATTTTATAAGCAGTAAAACAGTTTATTCTTTATATAGAAGCAAAGTTTAAGTATAATCAACAGAACACAACCCAGCGTAAAGAAAAACAAAACATTTAGTTACGATGCATATTCGCTTAATTTATTTTCTCATTGTATAACCTCAGTTGCATAACTATTTTATCTATTATGTTTTCAATAGCTTTGAAAAGTAAAGCACTCTTGTAATTCATTTTGTATTGGTTGTTTGAATCGTTCGATTGATGTTTAAAACTGTGCGGATTGCCTCGATATTGTCTTAAGTCACAAATACTATAACAACACATATAAGCGAACAATTGTTTTCAATTAGATCGTCATCAGGCTTTACTCTAATATACATGAATATTTATACGAAAATGTTAAACCAGTCAAGGTAATATAGGTCAATACTATAAGCAGAGATGGATGCAGGCACATCCGGCTGACGAGTCCCAATTAGGACGAAACGCGCATCTTAGATTCCACTGATAGCCACCATCAATCTATGCTTATTAAGCAAACTTGATCATAATAATGTGAAAATTTGTATTCACATAATCTGAACAATCAATTTTGTGAACATTTAAAATTACTGAGAAATAGATGTAGAAACTAAAAGAATTAGCATGTATAAATATGGAGGTTAACTGTGTAAAGGAAACGTAATCATGCAAAGTATTTAAATGAAATAGATTCAAGCATTATTGAAATGTGTATTAAATAATTCATGTTACTATGTGTAGTTGAAAGGTTTAATTTATTTTCTATCTTATTGATTAACACAGTAGAATTTGCGACCCTAATATATTGTAAATCAATCAACCCTAATAAGAGACATAATCGTATATAAATTCAAAGTGTAACCTATCCATTATAGTAGTTACTCATCAAACTTATACAACCATTTATTGTAACATTTTTTTCATGTAATACTAAGTTTCAGAGTTCAATTTTAAGAATCTATCATAAATGGAAAATTTCAGGCTATCAACAATAAAACTGTAATCCTGTACTATACCTAGTATTTTTTTAAACTGCCTTTCTTTTCGATAAAAGTCTACGGTGAAAAAAAAGCATCGTTAGCTTTGATTGCTTATAAATATCATGTCATAAGTAAATTCAATTATCCCAAAAGATAAATAAATGACTGATTATCTACATTTTTGTAAAAAAATATTCAGTTCCAATTATTGTGTGAACAAATAATTATCGTCCCAAAAAGTATGTAGACAATTCCAAGAGACACCTGTTCTATCTAGAACTTAGATTCTTAATATACCGTCTATAAGTAGGACACTCAAACACTAGAACCCTTTAAGATGCAAATGAGAATACAGAAGACGAGTAAAAAGAATGCTATTCTAAACAGTGTCAAATATAGTACAAAACTATCAGGTATTTATGGTTTTTCGTTTAGTAAAAACGAAATCCTCATTATAGTCATCCAATTCGAAGATGGGCGGCTTTAGCATTTGTCCAATAGGGAATCTACATGTAGAGATTCTGGATTATTCTGCCTAAAGATGAGTTGATGGAATATTTTCGGTTCTTTCTGATCTTCGCAGAGCTTCTTCGAGTTCACCTGTGAGCCGTTCTCACAGCACTCAAATATTCTTTATAGTAATAATGACAATATTTTCTTTATTCAATGCTACAAATTTTCTTACAGTTAGGAATTCTTAATGGTAACTAGCCAATATTGTAACAAACTTGTCTTTAACATATATTTCAATCGTAATCACTCAAAAATAAGTTTTATATATGCCTTCAATATTTAGTATCTGTAATTTAATCTCAAAAGTTACACTACTAGTTTAACCGCTACAACGGATTTTCATCATTCATTTTATTATTGAATATATGAATTCCATTTCACTAAACGATAGAAGAGAAAGAAGAAATTTTAAAAACTACACCATTTAATATTAAGATCAGTAGTAGGCTTTTTATAAAAGTTCATCAGTGTATACAATTAGCATTAATAAACATAACAACTGCACTTGGCATATATTTTACTCCAGTAGAAACGACTTCAGTGTTTCATTAGACAGATAGTTTGCCATAAGTTCAGTTGTTATTTCTTCGTCTATTTCGGACTTGTCAGTTGGATGTACCTGTATTACAGAGTTGATGTGTAGTGGCTGGTCCTATGTCAAGCCCGCATAGCTTATTCTAGCTTCTGGATAAACCAACTTATCTATTCTCCTCAAGCTATATTTTGACCCTGTTAATTATTCGCTTATCAACCTTGACTGTTTTTATATGAACGTATATGTGTTCATTTCTCATGTTACTCACCACATGTCTCTAGCTTATTTTTGTTCGACTCTAAATATCGGTTAGCGCTTGATTAAATTGAGTTAGCTCACACACCTCCATTGCACGTCATTCCGCTTCGCTCTCTTCTCTTCGCTTCGTTTTTCCACTAGTTTGTCTGGATCAACGATTGTATGAAATATACGTATTCGGAATTCATTCTCGTATTTGACTTATTTAATTCCTCTATTCACTAACGCAAGTTAAGTCAATACTTACGAGAATGGCCAGGATATATATTTCGGTAGCAATTATTCAATAACAATCATGCATACGATCTAATTAGAGTCAGATATACAGCCACAAAAGTGATGAGCCCATCAACAATATCTTCCAATTTAATTGGCGTCAAAATAATGGACCACTAAATATGTTCACTTTGGGACTAGAACCTATTATCTTTTGCCTCAAACACCCTCACGTTATCCGCTTAAATACTGAGTCGAGCTAGCCACCTACTTGTCCAACGGGTATGAGATTGAATTAAATTTGAAATGAGTTGGATTATCCTACTGTTTATATTTTTGAATGAACCGATGCAAAATTCCTCCATTTTAACGATTATTTTGGTCACTGTCATACGATAATTATGGCTCGTCATAATGTAGTTCTTGGAAATAATTGTTAGCTTAAATATTCCTTGTCTCTGAATATGAGGATCTTTAGACTACTGAGAAAATTTAACCAGTCATTCGTTATTCTATTGAAGCACAGTTGTGGTTCAACTGAAGAGATAAAAAATACAAACCACTAATTCAATTTGTTCATCAGTACCACCAACCAAAATACTTAAATCCACATAATTATTATTGCATTAAGTAAGATAACTTTATAACATTACGCCTAATGTATACATAAGTATTATAATTATCTTATTTCGATATTCTCTTATTTAGTAAACAAACGTGCAACTTATCTTACTCAAGATCGTTTAAAACCATCATCTTATTCCTCTTTATCTTCAGTAACTGGACAAAATGATTTCAATTCAATATCATCTACTTATACAATAAATCAACGACAACCACCAATATGTCCAACATGTTTAAAATATAAAAATGTTAAAGATTTAACTACACTTTCACCAGACATAATGACATTGAATACTTTCAGTGATTATAATCATTTAAGAAATTTATCCAATACACTTAAATTTTCATTATCAACATTCCATTTAATATGGTTGAATATTTTTACTTCATTCTTATATTATTATTTCGTTTGAAGTCTTAGCTATGCATAACAGTATCATTATATGAATGAAAACAATTCAATTATTCTTTCAATATTGTTTATCTATTGATGGACAGATATACAACAATTTGGTTAGTTAACTTCTATTCATTTCATTGCCGGATTCGTGTTGTTTTGTTTCATTCTGATCTTTTTACTTTAAAATCTTTTTATCTATCCATAATTTTGTACATGTTTGTCGGAAAATGAATAGTTCAATTCGAGATATTATTGTAGTCAAGAAAAAACAAACATCTTGAATAGTATAATTTGATCTTGTAATAAACTTTTTATTATTATCATAACCGAATAGTTAATTGATAAATTACTGGACAGACTGGAATGACTAAACGGACTGTTAATTATCTCTTCCAGATGATATTCTTGAATTTCTTATGGATAAACTTTTTAGAAACAAAATCATTGATCAGCTGAAGGAATGATTGCACACATTAATGAATGTCATGCAGTTAGTTCCTTTGAGAAACATATGTAAAACAAGAACAACCAATGTAGTGAAATCAAAGAAGTTCAGTTCATTTCGTCCGTTCTACATCATTCACACAGTGGTTTACATATATAAAGTTTTTAATAAAAGTAATTTTTTGCATGAAATGCATAAAGCTACGTAGTTTATTAGTGAAAAAAACAATTATAATTACTCTTTAGATCAATATAAGATTAATTTCTTGATGAGCGGAATAATCATGAATGAAGGAGAGAGAGTGAACGATTATAACGTAATCGAACACAAGAAATAAGTGCACTGTTACAATTAAGTTAGATTAAAGTAATGGTGACTATAATAACAATATGTAGGTACATGTGGAAATTGTAGAACTTTCATGGTTCAATTTAGGAACTGATCTTAATCAGGCTACCATTAATAAATTAGAAGCATTTCACAGCCGTTTCGTGCTAGTTCAACCATGTTAAGTGTGAGACAGTTATCCTCCACAAGTGATGAAAGTCGGTCACACAATATCGTGAATTGTTTGAGGTTAAAGAATAAGACCGATCGACAATAGATTGTTGGTCTCGCGGCTAAGTGTTAGCGCGCAAGACCAAAGATCCTGGGTTCAATTCCAAGACTCAATGCTAAGGAGTCCTATACTTGAATGAAACGACCATCCAAAGCTTCTAACATTCCAATGCTGGTGTAGTTAGAATAAGTTAGTGATTGGAATTATAATAATAATAATAATAATAATAATAATAATAATAATAATAATAATAATAATAATAATAACAATAATAATAATGTTTGGAGATGATATAAGAAACTGCAGTAAATATGGAAAGTAATCATAATTAATTTTCCACCAATAAACTACATAGCTTTATGCATGTCATACAAAAAATTACTTTTATCAAAAACTTTATATATGTAAATCACTATGTGAATGATGCAGAACGGACGAAATGAAATGAACTTCTTTGATTTCACTACATTGGTTGTTCTTGTTTAACATATGTTTCTCAAGAGAACCGACTTGAATCGAAGTTAACTTTCATCAGGGACAAACACGAACTGAAAAACTAACGAAAAAAACAAGAAAGCACTTGATAACATTTATTCGCTACCCAAGACCTTTATGTCTCGAAGCAGTCAGTATACCTAATGACTACTAAGCTGAAATCTAATCGATTACTTTTCGTGAGTCTTAGGTATGCAACCTTAAAAAGTCTCGAAACCGAGAAAAAGCAACGGCCTAGTTACTTTCCTGTGTGCTTTTAATTGCTTCTCCAGTTGATACTAGTACGTAATTTAAGTTAAAATATATTTTACTGGTTAGTGGTTTATGGATTTCGTCATACTGCACCATTCCAGTACTAAATATAATATTTAAAATTGTAACTATATTTTTAGTTGCTGCCAATAAGACTAAATGTTTAGGTCATAATATTACCTCAAACGTAGCAATTGATGAGCTAGATTAGTGTTCTATACAATAAACAAGCTATATCTTCAGAACGTTACAATATCATGTGAAAAAGCAAGCTTTCTGTTAGTAACGAGTAAACAAGATCATACACAAAAGTGGTAATTATGCAATTTAGTAACAACGGAGAAAATGTTTAGCTGTCATAACATCTTATTAATTTGGATAATTATTTACAAACATAACTAATTAATCTAAGATAGGTAAGTCTACGTAAGTGCTAACAAATTCAGGCATAAGATTTTTCGGAAAGTATGAATGTTTAATATAGACTATCATCGTTTAGAAAACTATTGTAAGTCAAGTTTTATCTTGTATTTTCATACACATAGTCGCCTTTATCATTTTGAAAAGATCAAGAACAAAGACTATAGCAGAATAGTATGAATTCATTTTATTTCGTAGGTTCTCGTCATCCGCTTACAACCTGTGATATCTTATAGTTTTGTTAAACTAGTTTAAGATTTCGCAAAGATAAACATAATTTCAACGTTATTTAAGATGGAATTTGAAATCATCAGGTGTTTTTGTAATTTCCTTTTGCAAAATCCTCCATAGTATTCTTTCGAAATGTTCAAAGTAATATATTGAAAAGGGTATCTTAGATATAATCAAAATCTGCTTTAATATACATTTCAATTTTCAATTTAATAACTAACTAAAGTGTAATTTGAACGGTTTGTTGATTAATAAATTTACCAAACTTTCATTTAAAATGTGAATAGTTTAAAGAGAATCAATTCAGAACACTGTCTTATGACGTAATTTCATCATTTTTTTTATTTGAAAGTATTACCCTCATAAATAATATCATTTTAGACTATGTGTATAGAGAAAGTGAGAACAAAAACATTCTGAGTGTGGGGTTGTGGAGATCGTTAAATTTCTGACTGAGATCATTAATCAAAAATTTAATAATTTCCACAACTTACTTACTTACGCCTGTTACTCCTCGTGAAGGAGAAAAGGCCACTCACCAGCATTCTCCATGTCCAAAACAATCCTTTCCAGCTCTCTCCAGTTGTTATTGATCCTTCTATTTCCCGACGTAATGTGTTCTTTGGCCCTCCTCTTTTCCGCTTCCCTTCAGGATTCCAAGTTAGCCCTTGCTTAGTGATGCAGTTTGGTGATTTGCGTAATGTATGTCCTATCCATTTCCATCGTCTTTTTCTAATTTCCTCTTCAGCTGGAAGCTGGTTTGTTCTCTCCCACAAAAGGCTGTTGCCAATGATATCCTACCAATGTATGTTGAGTATGTTGCGTAGACAACTATTTATAAATACTTGTACCTTCTTGATGGTGGTTGTTGCAGTTCTCCAACTTTCAGCTCCATACAGTAGAACTGCCTTGACGTTGATATTGAAGATCCTCACTTTGATATTGGTTGAAAGTTGTTTTGAGTTCCATATGTTCTTCAATTGTAGGAATGCGGCCCTTGCTTTACCAATCCTCGCCTTTACGTCTACATCTGAACCTCCTTGTTCATCGATGATGCTTCCCATGTATATGGAGGATTCTACATCTTCCAGAGTTTCGCCATCAAGTGTGATTGTGTTGCTTGGTTTTCTCCGTGTTGTATTTGAGGACCTCGGTTTTCCCCATGTGTATGTTGAGGCCTACTGATGCAGAGACTGCAGCTACATTGCCTGACTTCATCTGCATCTGTTCGTGTGTATGCGATAGGAGGGCTAGGTCATCTGCGAAGTCCAAATCGTCTGATTGATTCTGAGCTGTCCATTGTATTCCGTGTTTTCTCTCAGATGTCGTGATCCTTATAATCCAGTCGACCACCAGAAGAAAGAGGAAGGGAGAGAGTAAACAGCCTTGTCTGACTACGGTCCTTACTTGGAATGCATCTGTCAGCTGTCCTCCATGCACTACTTTGCACTGTAGTCCGTCGTATGAGTTCCGGATAATGTTGACAATCTTCTCAGGAACTCCGTAGTGTCGAAGAAGTTTCCATAATGTCCTCCTATCTACACTGTCAACTGCCTTTTCATAATCAATGAAGTTGATGTATAGTGACGAGTTCCACTCAACTGATTGTTCGACGATGATCCGTAGTGTAGCAATTTGGTCTGTGCACGACCAATCCTTACGGAATCCAGCTTGTTGATCTCGAAGTTGGGCGTCTACTGCATCCTTCATCCGGTTCAGCAACACTCTGTTAAAGACTTTCCCTGGTATTGACTGTAGTGTAATGCCGCTGTAGTTTTCACATTTGCTCGGGTCTCCTTTCTTTGGCATCTTGACGAGGTGTCCTTCTTTCCGGTCCATCGGCACTTGTTCCTCCTCCCAAATCTTTTTGAATAGAAGGTAAAGCATGCTTGTAGTTACTTCGATGTCTGATTTCAGTGCTTCAGCTGGTATGTTGTCGGGTCCTGCTGCTTTCCCGTTCTTGATTTGTCTGATGGCCATTCTAATTTCTTCCGTCGTTGGTGGGTTGACATCTATAGGAAGATCTGTGTGTGCTGCTTCGATGTCCGGTGGATTCATTGGAGCCGGCCTATTCAGGAGTTCCTCGAAGTATTCCACCCATCTGTTACGCTGTTGTTGAATTTCGGTGATTGGCTTGCCTTCTTTGTCTTTGACCGGTCTCTCTGGTTTACTGTATTTCCCTGCTAGTTTCTTCGTTGTATCGTGAAGCTGTTTCATATTTCCTTCTCTAGCAGCTTTTTCCGCCGTCTTTGCTAGTTCTTCTATGTATTTCTTCTTGTCTGACCTAATAAATACTGTCCCATTTAATTTATAAGGATTTTTGTGTAATTTAAAGATAGATTTCATTACAAGGAGGAGATCTATCAAAAATCACTCAGTACCATAAAATATCATGGGTACACAGTATTACGAAGAACTAAAATGAAATAAAACGGTTTCCAATTACTCTACGGTTTATTGACAATTTCTAACCAATGAACACTGACTAGATAATTAGTGGGTGCCTAATCCTACCATAGTGTCATATACTTTGAATATGAATTTTGGTTATTCTGAATAATATGAATTGTTTGCAATATTCATAATATCCAATAAGCAGAAGAAACTCGCG